GCTACTGTTTTATTCTTACTATGACCTTGCCTCCGGCTCCAGGCGCTCTTGCCGTGCTTTTGCGTCAGAGGAAACTACCGGGGCCTGATCTTGGCCCTTCTAAGGCCTAAATGAACATTTTTAGGGGTCATTTGTTAACTTGCTGCCTAAAACTCACCACCTCCCTACCCCCCACACCTCTGGCAAGAAAGTGTGTAGAGGGGTGGGGTGGGGTGGGGTTTAAAATTGCTTGCATTGGCTGAAAAGGAACTAGGAATGCTGAAGTCTCTTCTCTGGGAAAAAGACAGAGCCACAAAACCTGCCTGAGATGGAGAGGGAGGGAAGGGGGATGAAAAGAAAAATGGTATCTCCTGGTGGTCTTAGCACTTGGGGACTGTCTTCTCATCCTGATATCCTTCTCCTGGGTTAGCTCACTGCTGCCCATAACCCCTCTTCCCATAATCACAATAATGGCTCCCATGCAAGAAGCACCTACTATGTGCCTAGGAGCAGTACATATATATTCTTAATCCTCACAATAACCTAAAGGCCAATTTGCTGATTTGTCAGTTGAGGAAACAGATTTTCAGAGAAGTTAAGTAAACTGACCCAATATTGGATCATAGTTAAGAAGTAGCAGAGCTGGAATTTAAAACCAATTTCCTCCAACACCATCAGACTATAATATGCCTTTTTTGCTACCCCGTGTTTCCTCTCTATCTCAAATCCATCTCAAGTCAACAAATATTTATTGAGTATATACCAAATGTCAGACGCAGCTAAGAGCTTTCAGTAGTCATTCTCTGACCCCAGAACCCTGGCTCCATCCCTCCATCCTGTTTCTCTTTCTCAGATGCTCCCACTTCCATATGTCTGTGTCCCTGCCCATTCTGTTTCTGCCACTTCCCATTCCCTTCATCTCCCATTCTGGGCCTGTGATCAGCAAGCCACAGTGTTCCAGGCGGGCACAGGCCTGGCTTGCATCTATGTCAGGGAGTCGTCAAAGGTGAGGGCCAGAACCACACAGATCCTGATTCAATGGCAGATCACCCCAAACCACAGTTAAGCATCTGCCAACCTCCTCTTTGAAGAGGAAGTGCGGGGGCCTCTGAAGGGACACAGCTGGATAAACTGACATCTCTGGGGATGAGGTTTAGATCCTCAGAGGAGATGAATTTAATAATATTTATTAAGCACCTACTAGGTGACAGGCCAAGTACCAGAGATACCACAGAGAGGCAGTGAGGAAAAGGGCAGATGTGGCCCTGCACACTCGGAGAGATTATATGCCAGCGGGGAGGGGGGGAAAACAGGGAAAAGTAAACAAATACACAAAATGGTTCTGCAATGTGTAAGTGCTATGAGGAAAACAAAGAAGGGCTCAGAAAGAGGTTAGTGGGGGGGGATGGGGGTTGTCAAAATGATAACAGGCTGGCTGGTTAGCTCAGTTGATTAGAGCACAGCCTTATAATGCCAAGATTATGGTTTCAGATCCTTGAACTGGCCAGCCATCAAAAAAAAAAGATAACAGGTCAAATGAGGGGAATGAAATAAAGTAACAACCTTGGGAAGAAGGGAAGGAAGTGAGGAGGAGAGCTGGAAATGGAAGAGGCTAAAGGTCTGTTTCTCTAGGGTTAGGACAGTGGGAACCAGTCCAGCCAATGGCACTTTTTGGTCTTAACTCACTCCCCAGCCCTCTCCCCCACTCCCTACTGGCTTAATGATTCACTCTCAACCTTTCCTGAGCTTCCTGTGTGGCAGGGAGTGGGGTGCATAGCCCTGGGTCTCTGAGGGTAGCAGGAATGGGGACAGGATTGGTTGAGAAGGAATGGCAAGCAGTCTGGTTTCTCTGGGTCTTCTCTTTGTCCTATTCTGGTTTTGCCATAAAGAAAGGTCTCTCTGTGCCAGGAGGAAGGTGAGGATAACTAGACCCAGCTGGAGGCCCAAATTCCAGATGTGGGAGGTAGTGGCGAAATAAGATCCTCACATCCCCTTCCCTTCCCCTCCCCTACCTAATGCCCTGGAGAAATTTTCCATCATAAACAAGTTATGCATTCCTGACTTTAGACGCTTCCCCCCCACCCCCCACCAAGCAGTTTTCTTCCATCATCACTATCTCCCTCCACCCCCAACTATGTCTGTGTGAGCGTGGGGGTCTCTCCACATGTGTAAATAGCCATGTATTTATGTTGACCACTGTGTAGTGTGTGAGTAGCTTGGAACTAGGGTGGCATGCAGGCTCCCTGTGGTCGGGTATAAATGTAAGGGTGATGGCAGGTGTGAAAGGCAGGCATGAGAAAGATACATCTTTGCTTGTAGAGGACGTGTGTTTTATGCCTGCCAGGAAGAGGTGTGGAAAGCAGAAGGGGTCTTGTGTGTTTAGACAAGAGTAGTGGGTATAAAATAAAGTGACATATAGGCCCAGGAAACAATTGTATACATAGCAGTAATGTATCTATTTCTAGCCCAGTTGTGAAGCTGTCCTCTTATTTGCTTTCCTACACATCCTTGGTTGTAAAATATCCATGCGTGTATCTCTTGTTTAGCGTCTGTGAAAAAATTTTCCCAGCTTTACTTAAGATTGTGTAATTTTGTATGGGGATTTTGGAGGAGTGTATCCATCCATGTTTAAAAGCTTGGGGGTGACCCAGCCAGTGTGTGAATACCATATGTGTATTTATAGTTCTGCATTTTCATCTTTCATTTAACAATATTATTGAGCAACTGCTATGTGCAAGGCACTGTGGTGGATTCTATGGAGAACAGAAAGACACGTATGATCCAGCCTCTAATGGAAGAGGTCATATGTCTACTCACCTGTGCACCAGGTTTAAAATGATAGTGTAAAGATCTGAGCCAGATGCATTTCAAATCCCTGGTGGAGTCATGTCTTATCTTTTCATCCTCTTGCTATCAGCAAACCCCTTTCCCGCATGTTCCCTTCCCTTAATGATACCCATCTCATTGCAAAACTCTGATGATCTTATGGTAGGAATGTCTCTTATAACTGCCTTTTCAGGCCCTTGTTACCTTCTCCTTGAGCCCCTCCAATAGCTTCCTGTTCCCACCTTGGTCTCTCCACTCATCTAGGACATACTCCTCATTCCAGTCATTCCTTGCTTGAACTGTCCTCTTTTTATCTCATCCCGTGACCCACAAGCTCCATGCTCTAAAGTCAAACCCAGGCTCCGGGCCTGGCAGCTAAGCTCTCCCTACTCTGCCCAACTCCTTTCCAGCCATTTTTACTTCCCACTACTTCTTTACAGGAAACTTACTCTGAGATTGTTTTTCTTGTGATTCCCCAAACACATCCTGCCCAAACACATCCTGTACTTTTCCAGCTCAAGGCCTTTGCTGATTCCATTCTCTTTCTCACAGTCGTCTTCCACATCTGAATTTGTCATATACCACCCACTGTTCAAGTCATCTCATATGTCACTCTTCCATGAAACCTCTCTTGTTGATTACACATATGTAAACAATAGCTCTTTCAGGTCCCCTTTAAAACACTCAGTTTTGAGTTTTCTTTTCTTTTTTTTTTTTTTTGTCTTTTTTCGTGACCGGTAACGGGATCGCAACCCTCGGTGTTGTGCCTGCACCGCGCTCAGCCAGTGAGCGGACCGGTCTCTATATGGGATCCGAACCCTCGGCGGGAGGGCCGCCGCGCTCCCAAGCTCCGCACTCAACCGAGTGCGCCACCAGGCCGGCCCCAGTTTTGAGTTTTCTCAGGACCCTCAAGAGAGTTCTAGTCATTGTCCCTCCCAAAGCCCTCAAGGCTGAAGTGTCAGCTTTATCTGGCTTGCCTCACTCAGGAGCACAAACACCAAAACTAATTACCTCAGTACTCTCAACAGTACCTTTGGGCCGGCCCGGTGGCGCACTGCTATAGTGCGCGGCTTGGGAAGCGCGGTGGCGCTCCCACCGAGGGTTTGGATCCCATATACAGACCGGTTCCCGCTCACTGGCTGAGCGAGGCGCGGGAGCAACACCGAGGGTTGCGATCCCATTGCCGGACACGGAAAAAGACAAAAAGGAAAAAAAAAAAAAAAACAGTACCTTTAACAGGGCACCTGGCACAGGCGAATATTCAAAAGATGTCAAATTCTGTGTTCATCAGGGCTGGCCCGTGGCTCACTCGGGAGAGTGCGGTGCTGATAACACCAAGGCCCCGGGTTCGGATCCCATATAGGGATGGCCGGTTGGCTCACTGGCTGAGCATGGTGCTGACAACACCAAGTCAAGGGTTAAGATCCCCTTACCGCTGCTAATCTCCTGACTTTGTATTTTGTGGTCCTCTGCAACAGCCTTTGTGTGAATATTTCCGCACACACATAAGTAAATAGCTCTGCTGGGTTGTCCCTATGCAGTCTTTGCACCTTTGCTATGTGTACATGTATGTTTAGCGTTATGTGCACGTGGTATGTGCATGTGTGTAGTATTTGTGTGATATGCAGGTGGTGTGTTCATGTGTGTGTGTTTTCATGTGTGCTAAGGCAGACAGGGTTGTGTCTGTGCATTCTAGTGGACCTGTATCGCTTAGTCTTCTTAGCTTTCTGTAATGACTTCCCTCTTGGGGTGTGTGTTTCTATGCATACCACAAGTGTGCGAAGGTGTGCGTGTAACTGTGGTCCTTGACCTTGCTGGGTCAGTATTGTAGCCAGATGGTCAGATCTCCTTATATAAGCCCTCCTGCTTCCCCAGTGGAGGTCGGCGATGGAGCCTGTAACTGAACCATCTCCTAAGTTGTGGTGGGCCCCTCTCCAGCTGCCACATGCCCCGACACGTGCCTGCAGATCGAGATCTCACCGCCCCCACACACGACTCACACACACACAAAGTGCACTTGGGCGCCTAGTGTTGCACAGGCAAAGCAAGTCTCCACGCCCTCCCTTTACTTCATCGTTGGAATTTCCAGCCGGCTCCAGCTAACCGCTCCCCAGCTGCAGGAGGAGGAGTTAGAAGGGCCCGCCCAATTCTCTGGCGTACATAACTAGCTCTACCCTGCTGCGGGTCCGCACTCAGCCTTACGCTTCGCTCAGCGCATCATGTGTCACTCCCGAAGCTCCCAACCCACCATGACCGTTCTGCGGGCCCCGACCCCAGTCCCTTCTACCAGCCCGGGCCCCCGACGAGGCTCCGGTCCCGAGATCTTCACCTTTGACCCTCTCCCGGAGCCCGCAGCGGCCCCAGCCGCGCGCCCCAGCGCCTTTCGCGGGAACCGAAAACGCAGCCGCAGGGTTCTCTACCCTCGAGTGGTGGTAAGTGTCGCCGAAGTGGGCAGACGGGGTCGCGCCGCCCTGGAGCCGCGCGGGAACGATCGGACGCCGGCGGCCTTGACCTGACCTGTCCCCTATTTTGTCTCTCCTCAGGTCCGGCGCCAGCTGCCAGCCGAGGAACCGAACCCCGCCAAAAGGCTCCTCTTTCTCCTGCTAACAATCATCTTCTGCCAGATCCTCATGGCTGAAGAGGGTGCGCCGGCGCCCCTGGCCTCGGAGGAGGCCGCCAGCGCCACGTCTCCGGCGCCCACCCTTGCGCCCCCGGTCCTCGAGCCCCTTAATCTAACCTCGGAGCCCTCGGACTACGCCCTGGACCTCAGCACTTTTCTCCAGCAACACCCGGCGGCCTTCTAACCGTGACCTCCCACACACCCAGAAAAGAACTTGAAAAAACAGAAACACCAGGCGTACCTGGTGCTCGAGAGCGTATCCCAAACTGGGACTTCCGAGGCCACTCAAACTCAACACTACAGGGAGACGCCAGCGGTGCTTGGGAGAGACGAAGGCCTGGACACGCCGAGGCTAGGCCCGTGGGGGAGGAGAGGTCCTTAACTTATTTCTCAGTGCTTCTAATTAATATTTATATGTATTTATGCATATCCTCCTAGGTGATGGAGGGGCGTATGTAATATTTATTTTAACTTATGCAAGGGTGCGATATGTGCCCCTGCTGTAAATGCAGATCAACTGGTATTTATCGAGCTTTGTGGGGCTGGTGGAGGCAGGGCACCTAGAACTGGGCAGTGGGAGAAGGAATGGGAAGAGTGGGGGAGGACTCCCGGGCTGGAGTCAAGGATGGTGGCGGGTCGTAGGTTTAGGGGTGACACTCTCCGTCCTCTAGCATCTCAACTCTGCCGGTCTACCGTGTGAAGCTTCGGCCAGCTGTTGGGAATAAGATCCCTGGCCTTCGACCTCCTGGAAGTTGCCCCTAAGGGGAAGCTGCGGGGTTAGGGGTCGGTGGGCTATCAGGGGGCGGCTGTCGGGGTCGCCCAGTATGTTCTGTGAACACAAATAAACTTGGATTTACGATCAGCAGTCATTTGAGTGTATTTTTACAAGCGGCGAATCCCCGCACCTCCCCGCCTTCAGACGCCAAGGACCGGCGAGAGGAGCCGTGTCCACGTCCCCAGCCCGCTCTCCTCCCGGGCCCCGAGCCCCTTTTCCCGGAGTCACGGATCTCAGCATCCGGCCGCCGGATGCAGATGTTCATTGCCTAGTCTGCGGTTTTCCCGGTTAGTTACTCTGCTGCAAATCTGAGATGTGGCAATCTCCTTTACCCCGGGATGCCGGACCCGCGGAGGTCACGTCCGAAGCCCCGGGGCGGAGCGCGGAGCGGCCTGGGCGGGACTGCGGCTCAGGAAGGGCGGTGAAGGGGGCGGCAGAGAAGCGGGGCCCCACCCCGAGCTGACACGGCCGCCGCAGAGGCCGGGGAGCCGGCGGGCTGCGGACCCGAGCGGGGCCTGCCGGGAAAGGGGCGGACCAAGCGCGCGGGGCCGAGGGGGTTGGTCCGCCGCGCGGGGTGGGGTCGCGTCTGCTGCAGCAACAGGGTGCGACCAGGTGGGAGGCTCCAGGGCAGGCCGTTTTGCAGAAGGCCAATCCGCGAGCGGGTCCTGCTCGGCTGGCGGGTCCCTGCGCGACCCCGCCCTCCCGAGACCCGGGCCCGGCTGCCGCCCGCGTCCGGGAAGGTGAGTGGGGGAGGGGAGATGGGCCTGGGGCTGCCGAGGAGCGGGGAGGGTGGGGAAAGGTCCGCTGGCCTCCAGGCGCGGGAGAGCTTTATCAGGTAAAAGGGAAACGGTGCGCACTGAAGGCGGGGACGCGGCGAGGGGAAGGGAGTGACTGTACGCAGGCGGTGGAGGGGGTCGCTGGGGATCTTCGGGATTTCACAGGGAAATGCCTTAGCGGACCCATGGGTGCGGCGGGACTTGGCCGCAGCGGATGCAGACTGGGCGGGCCTGACGAGAAAGAGAAAGGATTCGCTCCTGTGAACGCCCCATCCACAAAGGCTTTCTCTCCCACTCCTCCAGCTCCAGCCTGAACCATGTTTTTCACTTGTGGCCCAAATGAGGCCATGGTGGTCTCGGGTAAGTATTCTCTTCTCAGCTAGTAACCCCAAAACCCCTGTGAATCTGGCCTCTGCCCCTTCTCCCTCTCCCTACCTGCTCCCCAATACCTGGCTTCTCCCCCTGATGGCCGCAAGCTACACGCTTGTGATTCCGAGCCGCTACCCTTCCAAGGCCAACCTGCCTCTGCTCCAGCACGGCGATGCTCTCCTGTGGATTGTTCCCATCCCCCAGTTCCTCAGTCTTCCACATTCCAACCCTACCTCGGTGCTCACTGCTCCTCACCTTGCAGGTTTCTGCCGAAGCCCCCCAGTCATGGTGGCTGGAGGACGTGTCTTTGTCCTGCCCTGCATACAGCAAATCCAGAGGTAAATAGAAGAGAACCAAAGAAGGGGAACCTCAGTTTTCTGTCTTTCATCCTTTTCTTACTGTCTGCCCCTTCTTTTTCCTCTAGGATCTCTCTCAACACACTGACCCTCAATGTCAAGAGTGAAAAGGTTTACACTCGCCATGGGGTTCCCATCTCAGTCACTGGCATTGCCCAGGTGAGGCTTTCAGAGCCTTTCCTCCAAAGTCCACTCCCCCATCACCTTCTCTCTCCCAGACATTAAGAATCTTCTGACCATGACTTTCTCAACCCCTGCCTGCAGAGAAATTTCTCTGTTAGTCTCACCTTCTCCAGGCACCCCCAAGGCACTGGGCTTCTCTACCCTTCTCTCCCTGAGATGGAAGAAGCTTCTCTTAGAGGGCTCCCCCTTCTCTCCCTGCTACCTCCTTGGCTTCATGAGACCTCCCCCACACTCTTCCTACCCCTACTCTGGCTACAGGTGAAAATCCAGGGACAGAACAAGGAGATGTTGGCGGCTGCCTGCCAGATGTTCCTGGGAAAAACAGAGGCTGAGATTGCTCACATTGCCCTGGAGACACTGGAGGGTCACCAGAGGGCTATCATGGCCCACATGACTGTGGAGGTGGGCCTGGGGGCAGGGAAAGATCCAGGAGGGATGCTAGAATGAGTGGAACCTAAGGACTGAGCTTGTCTGTGAGAGACTGGATCTGACAGCTTAAATTCCTTCTTCCCACCATCCTATTATCCCAGGAGATCTATAAGGACAGGCAGAAATTCTCAGAGCAGGTTTTCAAAGTGGCCTCCTCAGACCTGGTCAACATGGGCATAAGCGTGGTTAGCTACACTCTGAAGGACATTCACGATGACCAGGTAAAACTAAGCAGGTGAGCTTTCTCCCCTTACTTGCTCCCAACTCTTAAACCCTCATAAGGACTCTGACTTCTGCATCTCTCCCACAGGACTATTTACACTCTTTGGGAAAGGCTCGAACAGCTCAAGTCCAAAAAGATGCTCGGATTGGAGAAGCAGAGGCCAAGAGAGATGCTGGGATCCGGGTGAGAGAGATGGGGTCTCTCGGTCACCACAGGCTTATTGGGTAACCTGGTGGGAGGGGGGATAGAGAGGCCTGACTGAGGGTGCTGGTGGAACTGCATTGGCAGGGAAAATTGATGAGGCCTGAGTTGGGGTAAAAGCAGGAAAGCCTGGTGGGGAGCAGGCTCTCACCCTGTGGCCTTCCTCTTCCTACCCTGACTTTTCCTCCCTGATCTCTGCTTGGACAGGAAGCTAAAGCCAAGCAGGAAAAGGTGTCTGCTCAGTACCTGAGTGAGATTGAGATGGCCAAGGCACAGAGGGACTATGAGCTGAAGAAAGCCGCCTACGACATCGAGGTCAACACCCGCCGAGCTCAGGCTGACCTGGCTTATCAACTTCAGGTCAGAGCCACCATACTGGGCAAATGGCCAGGCTGCTCTTTGCCCCTTCCCCATTCTCTCAGACTCTCCATCTCAGGCCACCCGTATTTCTCATATTCTGACTTTGATCTTGTTCTAGCTCTCCATTTCTGACCGAACTCTCCCATATAAGGAGAGATTTAAAAGACAAATGTTTCAGTGAAAATCAAAGGCCAAGATCCGTAAGGCTGATCATATGTTTGGGGCAGGTTGTGCCCTGTGCTAGTGCACCTGGCTGAGGGGGTGAACTAGAGCTAAGATCCATTCCATGCTCCACTTGCCAAGCTGTGCTTCTGGCAGGGGTCTGCATCTGCCCAGAGAAAGGGGCACCTTTTTCTAATTTGAACAAGGGCACTCCATGGGCTAGCAGCAGCCCTGGTGATCAAAGAAGGGTATAAGGAAGGAAACCGTGGGCATTGAATCCTGCAAAGCAAGGTATATAGGCAGCCCTTGATATTGCAAGGAAGTACTCTCAATCCTCATTATTCATGGATTCCATATTTTAGAATTTGCCTATTCAGGGGCCGGCCCAGTGGCGCACTGGATAGTGTGCTGCTTGGGAAGCACGGCGGCGCTCCCGCCCAAGGGTTCGGATCCCACATACAGACCGGTTCCCGCTCACTGGCTGAGCGAGGCGCGGGAGCAACGCCGAGGGTTGCGATCCCGTTGCCGGTCCCCGGTCCAGTGCGGGGGCAACACTGAAGGTTGCGATCCGTTGCCGGACACGGAAAAAGACAAAAAGACAAAAAAAAATAAAAATAAAAATAAAGTGCATTTCTTGTAGACAGAAAGTAGTTAGGCCTTGTTTTTTATCCAATCTGACAATATCTACCTCTTAATTTTGGTGTCTTGACTGTTTACATTTAATGTGATTATTTATATGATTAAACTTCAGTATCTTATCTTGT